ATGTGTGTGTTTATACATAGACATACTCGTGTGTATGAGCATATGTATATGTATATATATGTGTGTACATATCTGCTTGTGTATATCTCTGTATTTATATACATACACACAAATGCTGTGATAGCAAAAAGTAAGTAAAATGTATGGCCATATGGGAAGAAAATTTTCCCTTCTCCCCAGCCACCTCTTCTAAAACTTTCTTTAGACAATTCTCCAGCTGCCAAACAGTCTAACCTTATCAAATCTTCTATAAAAATAAGACACTGTTGAATTTCATCGTATTCACCAGATACTGGTGCATTAGATGCTACTGCTAACCATTTTCCTTGCGTCCCAAAAGAAAGAATTGTCCCATTTGGTGAGATGAACAATCTATTTTCTCATCATTCCTGTCATCATCAGTGTTGGAAATTCCTCTTCAGATTGAAGTCAACTTGTGGAATAGAATTGATAATGCTGATAATGGTAGTGGTAGTGGTGGTAGTAGTGGTGTTTGTAGTGAGGATGATGATGATGATGCAGCTGTTAATGCTGATTATGATCATTGTGGTGTTGGTGATGATGGTTAGGATTGTGATGATGATGATGATGATGGTAGTTGTGATGATGATAATACTGTTGATGCTGATTATGATGATTGTGGTGTTGGTGATGATGATGATGATGGTGGTGGTGTTGATGCTGATTATGATATTGTGGTGTTGGTGATGATGATGATGATGATTGTGGTGTTGATGGTGGTGATGAAAATACTTGCTTTTAAAAATGGATCTCAACATGGTTATCTTTAATTACTAAATATTACATATTTAATGCAATCTCTAACCAAAATGTATCTCTTTTTATGAGCCATCTCTTTTAATGTGGTGCATGATCACAGCTCTCCACAACTTTCTATACGTAGTAGCTCTTAGGAATATTTGTCCACTTGGTAATCCCCCAAGTCCTTGTTCTCCCATCGTTAAGTAGGTTTTTATTTCTTTCTGCTACTTTTGTCTTCACTATATCTTGTGAATGTCAAATTCTCCGGGCCTTATTTTCTCATTATATATCTAGGATGCATCAACTGTCTTTTAGAATCAGAAGAGAGACTGGTACATACGAGTGTATGTATTATCTGGACTTTCACCATAACATATCATTAGGATTATCACACATTGCCTTCTGCTCATGCATGCTTATAGTTGGTCATGTGATCAAAGTTTGAGGTTGATTGCACCAGTTTTCTTGGCACAATTACAGTATAAACATGGTCACTTCACTAGGAGTGTGCACCAAGGAAGAACTAACATCAGTGATCCAAATCTGCAGAGAACATGCTACCTCATCAATGGTAACTCACTGGTTTCTAGAGATTGCTGAATGGTGGTGGAAGTTGACAGGCGTCCTTGCTCCTTCTTCATGAATCATGCTTGTCTGACCACTTTTAAAGCTTTTGATCCAATCATACACACTTCTACATGGTAGTGCACTGTTGCCACATTGTGTTAAAAACCTCCATGAATTTCAGCCTGACCAGAGAAATCATATCACTACTCTTTGTTCCACCTTGGTGCACACTGCTAGTGGAGTGGCCATGTTTATACTGTAACAGTAGCAAGGAAACTGGCACGATCAAGCTCAAACTTCAATCATGTGACCACAATAGTATGAACTATTAGCACACATCAGCAGAAGATAGGTGGAGCCACTACATTGAAACAATAGCTGCATCTAGTGCAAGGGAAGTTGGTTTTCTGTGTTGTACCAGAAGGTTTTTCTTATCAGAGTCCATATTTCCCATCTACAAATCTACCATTCATCCATGCATGAATTACTGTTGCCATATATGGACTGGTGCCCATGTTGTTCATCTTGTGATTCTCGACAAAATTCAAAGATGAATATGCAATGTGATCGGTCCTGACTTGGGATCTCGACTTCAGTCACTTTCTCACAGATGTGATATGGCTTCCCTCTGTCTTTTCTACAAATATTTTCATGGCAACTGCTCTGACAAGCTATTTTCACTGGTGCCCTGACTGCATGAATTTAAGCGTGTTACTAGGTTGGTATCTCGGCCCCACTCTTTTACTTTCAAAACAGTTAAATGTAACTGCCTCTTCTACTCCATCAGCTTCTTCTCTTGCACTTCCTGATAGTGGAACTCCCTTCCTTGCTTCCCTGATAACTATAATCTTCAAAAATTTAACTGTAATGTCAGTTGAGATCTTCTGTTGCCTTGATCCCTGTTCTTTTTATCCTTTCCTCAATCCCCGCCTACCTAGTCTTTTCTCCTACTGTGACTCTCTGTAACCCCTTGCATACTAGTGGCACTCCCGCCTTGCTTGGAGTGAAGTGTTTTAAAAAAAAGAAAAAGTGTGACAAACCTAAAGAGATGTTATAGTGAAAGTGCTGATTTGACTTAACTTCATAGAATAAAAGTCCGTTTTGTTTATCTCTTCAATAAAAATTCCTTGTTTTACCCATTTTCTATGTGTAGTATTCTCAGCATTCTTCTATAAAACCAAATCTCCATTACCAAAGAAAATTTAGGAAGAAGAACCTTTTTTCTACTGTACACTGTTAATTTAATGATGCATTGATGAAAATCAACAGAAATATTATGGAAGAAAATATATATATACATACATATATATATTTATACACATACATATATATATGCATACATATATATACATATATACATAAATATAAATATATGCACAAAGATATATATATACACACACACATATATATACACATATATATATGCACATACCTATATATATATATATATATATATATATATATATATGTATGTATATGTATATATTATCAAAGATTAAAAACAAAACATGTTAAAAATCGTTATTCAATAGTAATCGTGTTTCAACACTACAAATATATCTCCTTGGGCTATGGTAAATTACTGGTGAGTGAACGATTAATTTCAAAAGCAGAATTCTTCCTTTTTTTTGAAAGAGAATGAAAAGACAAAAAAAAAAAAAAACAGAATTAAAATGAGGCTTGTCAGTTTACTGTGATTAATCAATCAAAGTTGAGGCCTACACTAAAATCAAAACCAACTGAAAAAATTATATAGGTCATGACATGAAGCTGTCTACATAGAAATCCTGGACAATTCCGTTTGCAACTGATACAAATGATTACATAATTTCGTAAAATATAGAGAAGTATGATGTTCAGCTTACAAATGAAGTTAAGGGGAAAGGGCGAGGGGGATAATCTAGCATAATGTTAATGAGGTATATGCTCAGTCATCTTCCTACATAGAACTGTGTAGTCAATAATTAAAAAGCTTCTTTAAGAAACCAGTAAAGAAACAAAAAAATAACAAATCATAAATTCAAAACTACTTTGGTAAATTAATATGCAACTGTTAAGTAAAGACCATCCATGTTAATAATACAAAATAGTTGATATAAGATGTTAATTATACTAACTAGACATCAATAGAGTGCTATATTAAATCTAAATGAATTTTGCACAATAGAATAGTGAAACATATAAGGTGAACCACAGTACATCTACCAATTATTGCAGTCAGAAAAAGTATTATCAAATTCAAAGTTGAACCATATTGTAAGATAAAAGGTAAACTATGCCTACAATTTACAGTTAGTTCAGTTCTTTAGTTTAATAAGGAGTCTTAATCAATCAATTCGATAATTTCTATTTTCTCATGCTTACATAAGAAACAAGGTTCATTTAAAGATCTGCATGTTCTAGTTTTTTTTAATACTTTCCATTTTACCATCGGAGTTTTATTAACTTCTATTAAATTCCAAAAATATTTCAAAGGAGATTTACCATTGCCCAAGGAGACACTTTGTTATGTTGAAACACAACTACTATTGTGTAGCAATTTTTAACATGTTTTGTTTTTAATCTCCAATAATATATAATATTTAACTCTACTCTGTATTGAGCTGTCTTTTAAATTAAATGTCACAGATAGTCGAATTACACTCCATTTGTTCTTATATAACCTGGATATATATATATATATATATATATATATATATATATATATATAGTGTATAAGGACAGCAGTTCATTGTTCAAACATATATTGTTAAATATAACAGACAACAAATGTCTATTATCTTTTATCATGAGCCTTTCCAAGAGAAAATAAAGACAAAAACAGTCCAACATATGGATATTTCTTTATTATATTGGTTGTCCATCTAAGCTTTTGGCTCACATGAGCCATCATCAGAATGGTTATATGAACATTATAACAGAGATGTTCACCATCAAAGATGACATCCAGTTTTGATCATGTAGAAGTTTGCTATGCAATGATAACAGTCATGGAAAGCAGGCACAGGTTGTAAATTTGTAATGTGATTCTATGACATACATGACCACATGAGGGAAATATTATCAACAGAATCATATGTTTAAATGCATTGTAATATTTTGTGACTAGTTTGAAATGTAATTTTATGTTGTTCTTTCCCCATTCCAATGCATTTTCAAATTTAGACAAATAACAAAGAGTATAATATTGACATTAACAGGACAAGTATTTGTTTAGTACATTAAGGCAAAATAGCTTTGATTTGTTTCTAATGAAATTTTCCTGTTTCTTAAGACTTTGCTTAGCCTTTGTATGGCATCTTTCGCCATCCCAATTCACTTTCGGATTTAGACAATAAAGAAGAGTATAATGATATTGACATTAACAGGAAATGTCTTTGTTTAGCACAGTAAAAGTGAAATAGTTTTTCTTTGTTTCTAATGAAATTTTCCTGTTTCTTAATACTTTTCTTAGCCTTTGGAAGGCATCTTTCACTATCCCAATTCACTCTCGGATTTAGACAATAAAGAAAAGTATAATAATTTTGACTTTAACAAGACATCTGTTTGTTTAGCAGTATCCAAGCAAAATAGCTTTCTTTTGTTTCTAATGAAATTTTCCTATTTCTTAATACTCTGCTTAGCCTTTGGAAAGCATCTTTCACTATTCCAGTTCACTTTCGGATTTAGACAATAACGAAAAGTATAATAATATTGATATTAACAGGACATGTATTTGTTTAGAACAGTACAATCACAATAGCTTTTCTTTCTAATGAAATTTTCCTGTTTCTTAAGCCCTTGCTTAGCCTTTGGAAGGCATCTTTCACTATCCCAATTCACTTTCGGATTTAGACAATAAAGAAAAGTATAATAATATTAACATTAATAGGGTGTGTCTTTGTTTAGCACAGTACAAGCAAAATAGCTTTTCTTTGATTCTAATGAAATTTTCCTGTTTCTTAATACTCTGCTTAGCCTTTGGAAGGCATCTTTTGCTATCCCAATTTACTTTCAGATTTAGACAATAAAGAAGAGTATAATAATATTGACATTAACATGATCTGTGTTTGTTTAGCACAAAACAAACAAAATAGCATTTCTTTGTTTTTACCAAAATTTTCCTGTTTCTTAATACTTTGCTTAGTTTATGAAAGGCATCTTTCACTATTCCTATATGCATTTTTCGTCCTCTGTTAAAACATTTCCCAAGTATTTAAATTGTTTTACTTGTTTGATTTTTGCTATCTAAAATTTGGGGCTGTTGCTTTTGCTGACAACCATGCGACAGACTAATCAGAAAGTTAACTGTCATATTGGGACTGGCTTCCTGAAGAAAGATGGGTTTAAGTTCAAATATTACTAGTTACTTATTCTTTAATTCTGCTCTACATTACTCATTTGCAGCTGTAGGGTGTTACTTACAAGCTGCAGTATGTGAGTCACTGAAATTTAGATGAATTAAATACCCGGGGCCCTTGCATTTCAATGGGTCTGTATGAGTCTGTGATGTTAATAGCAAGTGGTGTTATTCAAGGACTATTCTTCCTTCAGGGGCAAAATTGTGAGCAAATTCATTCATTGAAAGCTGAGTGTATTGAGAAATTAAAATAAAGACATTGTTGGTATGAATACCAAATTGTTTCTGTTTATTCTCCCTTCATCTGTTCTTGAATTTCCTGCAAGTTCTCTCACAACAAACAGCATCCACCAACATCGGCTGGAAACGAGAAATAAGTCAACCATGATGGCTCATTGATAACAGGAATTATTTTCCCCCAGGTAATGCTGGTTATGATTGCTAGTATTCTTGAAATCTCCAAACAAAAAAGAAAAGAAAATAATTATAACATCAGTGTTGCCTGTCAGATGAATAGTCATATTTCTTTAGTGCAAACCTCTTTGGATTAGACTTTGTAAGCTGGTTGAGGCCAATTTGACAACAGAATTACCTAAATTTATCTGATTATTCTCAATGAGTATTTCTAGCATCCCTCATTCTTTGTTTTGCTTCTTTCTTTTGCTTCATTTACACGTTCTTTCTTTATTTCTTTCTTACTTTCTTTCCTTTGATTTCTTTCTTTTTGTTCTTATACATTTCTTCCTTACTTTGCTTTTCTCTTTCTTTCTTTCATTCCCTTAATTTCTTTCTTTCTTTATTTTTGTTCTTCTTGTACTTTCTTTCTTTTTATTTTTTTTCTTTCTTTTGTTCTCTCCTTTTCATTCCTTTCTTGCTTTCTTTCTTTGCTTTTCTTTTCCTCATACTTTTCTTTCTTCTTTGCTTATCTTTCGCTTTCTTTTTTTTTGTTTTTCTTTATCTTAATTTCTTTTTTTTTTATTTACTTTTGTTCTTATACTTTTCTTTCTTCTTTGCTTTTGATCTTTCACTTTGGTTTCTTTATTTCATTCTCTCTTTCTTTATGTTTGTTCTTCCTTTTATATTTATTTTACTTTAGTTTTCTCTTTCTTTTTTGTTACTGATTTTCTTTCTTTCTTTCTTTTCTTTTTCCTTAAGTTTCTTTTTCTTTTGATCTTTCTTTTCTTTACTTTTGTTCTTTTAATACTTTTTGTTTCTTTTTCATTCTTTCTTCTTCCATCTTTCATTTTGTTCTTCCTTTTATATTTCTTTATTTTACTTTAGTTTTCACTTTCTTGTTTTGCTATTGATTTCATTTCTTTCTTTCATTTTCTTCTTATCTTTCTTTTTTCTTTTGTTTTTCTTTTCTCGCTCTTGTTCTTTCTTTCTTCCTTTCTTTAATTTTGTTCTTCCAATACTCTTATTTTCCTTTCTTACCCTTGATTTCTTTCTTTCTTTCTTTCTTTCTTTCTTTACTTTCATTCTGTCAATACTTTTCTTTCTTTCTTTTTTTTTCTTTCTTTTTTCTAATTCTTTTGCTTTCAGTACATCCTGCAAGTGTAATTTTTCAAAGCTTTAGCCATCAAAAATCAGTTCGGTTGCTATATATCCTCTTTAGCTATTAAAATCTGTTTTGTCTTTTACTATCTAATATTTATTGATTTTTTTTATTTATTCCTTTCATTATTTCAAAAGTTATGGGACTATTAAATCATTTCATTTCTTCAATGATTTGTTATTTATTTACTACACTTTGCTTTATCAAGTCCATGGCTACATTTAGGATGCACTCAGGGAGGATCAAATTCACTGCACTTGAAAATTAGTCATCAAGACAAGCTTGTTGGGGTAGACCTCTGACACAGTTATTTATTAAAGACCATAGTCTGGCACAAGGCCATATTACTAGAGAACTCATAGAGTAGTAAATTCCCTACACTTGGAACTTTGTTATCAAGATAACTATTGTTCTAAGGAAGACGCCTGGTACACTTAATTATTAAACTACTTTACTGAGCATAATCTGGCACAAGGCCATATTAGTAGGGCACTCAAAGAAGATCAAATTTATTGCAAAATAATCAGGAAGAAAAGCTTATTAGTAATTATGTCAGGGTAGAAACACAATAATATTATTTACTAAACTACTATATTGAGCATAGTTTGGTACAAGGCCATATTAATATTACATCTATAGGAATATAAAAATTTGTCTCTGCTGCATTTTAGTTCACTTTTCATCTTTTCCTTTCTTTCTTTCCTTCTTTTATGTTTTCTTTCTTTCTTTAATTCTTCCTTTAATTCTCTTTCTTTAGTTATTTCTTTCTTTCCCTCATTCTTTAATACTTTTACTTTTTCTTTCTTTGTTTCTTTAATTCTTTTATTTTCTTTAATTCTTTTATGTTTCCTTAATTCTTTCTTTCCTTAATTTTTTCTTTCTTTTTTAACATCTTTGCTTTCTTTCACTTCCTTCTTTCTTCATACCAACTCTTCATTGTTTTTGACTTTATTCATAGCATGAAGTCTTGTTTTTATTTAAAGGAAGAATAAAGAATCAGGAATCCTATTCGGTTTTTGGTCTCTCTCCTCTGCCCTGTTTCTTGATATTCTTTCACTCATCCTCCTTGATTTCCCACATCCCCTGTTTCTTCATATCCTTCCTTTCTTTCTCTCTCCTTGATTCCCCTCCTCCTCAGTTTGTTGCTATGCTTTCTCTCTCCATCCATGATTTATTTCCCCTCGTGTTTCTTAATATCCTTTCTCTCATCCTTAATTTCCCTTGTCTCCTATTTCTTAGTATTATTTCTCTCCTCCTCTTAGATTTCTCACCTCTCCATTTTATTGATATCCTTTCTCTCCTCCTCTTTGATTTCCCTCCTACCCATTTCTTAATATCCTTTCTCTCCTCCCCTTTGATTTCCCTCCTACCCATTTCTTATCCTCTCTTCTCCTCTTTGATTTCCCTCCTACCCACCATTTTATTAATATCCTTTCTCTCCTCCTCTTTAATCTTTCCTCTTCTATTCCTAAAATCTATCCTTTCTCTCTTCCTTGTTTTTCTCCTTTTTTGTTTCTTAATATCCATTCTCTTTTGATATTCTTTCTCTTCTCTTTCTTGATTCCCCTCCTTCCCTGATTTTTGATACCCTTTCTCTCTTCTTCCTTGATTTCCCTCCTACCCAGTTTTTCAATATTCAATATCTTTTGATTATCCTCATCTCCTGTTTCTCAATATGTTTTCTCTATTCTCTCTTGATAACATTTCTCTCCTCCTCAATTTCCCTCCTCTTTTTCTTTTCAATATACTTTCTCACTTCTTTCTTTATATTCTTTCTTTTCTCCTCCTTGATTTCCCTCCTACCCAGTTTTTCAATATCTTTTCTCTCTTGATATCCTTACTCTTCCTCTTTGATTGTCCTCTTTCCCTCTTTCTCAATATCCTTTATCTTTTAATATCCTTTCTAGCCTCTTTCTTCATTTCCTGTTTCTTGATATTCTTTATCTCCTCCTCCTTGATTTTCCTCCTACTCAGTTTTTCAATATCCTTTCTCTCTTGATATCCTTACTCTCCTTCTTCTCAATTACTTTCCTCTCCTCTTTCTCAATATACTTCCTCTCTTCTCTCTCAGTATCATTCTTTTTATCCTCTTTCTTTTATTTTCTGCCTCTTCTCTTTTGTGATATCATTCCTCTTTCTTCATATACTTCTTTTTATTTTCTTTCAAGAATCTCCCTCTTCCTTCTTTCTTCTGTGGCTCTTTTTCAATATAAAAATATATCCGCAGTTGAATACCAGCTGAGTCAGAAGATGGAGCATCTTTTGTTTAGGATTCTTGTATTAGTTTGAAGGTCACACAAATTATCTCAATGGACTCTTTCCTTTCTCACCCTCGCTTTTCTCACTACACCATGTCTCCTCCTCCCCTTTTAATTTGTCATTCCAACACAATGATCAGAAAAAGAAAATCAGTATTGAAAAGAATTGGAGAATGAAAAGGAAGTGGATATTTTTGCCTCCCATTTCAGGAATAATCAAAGAAGACAAATGGAAACAAACATAAAAATCATTTGGTACATACTGACCCAAAATTCTTAATATGAAACCATAACTGGATGGATTGTAAAGTATTGTTTACAGTTAAATCTGTTGGTGTTCTTCAGATGGGTCTGTTTTGGAGAATGTTAAGAATTTTTATAATATCTGCAAATGGCTTACTAGTTTTAATGCCTCCAAAATGAAACTGCTTTCTATTAATCATCTGGGAGAATTCTTTCAGCTTTCCATCAGCATGGCTGTTGCTAACCTCCAGCAGAGTGACTCATTGCACCTTCTCAAGTGAATTTTTTTCTATTTACATGAAGTGGAATGATTATATTGAATCAATTGCTAGGTCTACTGCTAGGAATATTGGTTCACTGTGTCGTGCTAGATAGTTTTTCTCACTATAATATATCTTACATAATTATAAGTCCAGGCTTTGAATATTGTTACCATACATTGTCTGATTTTCTTGCTATATATTTAGAGATCATTGATAAAATCCAAAGAAGAATTTGCAATGTCACTGGTCCTGATCTGGCATCTTGGCTCCAATCACTTTCTCAGCTGCTATTATATAGCTTCTCTGTGTCTTTTCTGTAAATACTTTTATGGTAATTATTCAGAAGAACTTTCCTCTATGTACATATGGAAACTTGTTAGGACTTCATAAAGACTCTGAGGTATTATGGTGGCTGTAGTAAGAACGGTAAGTAAGAATGTGTTGTTTTGATGTTAGGAATACTGTAGTATGTTTGGGCCAGTAATTATGGCTAGCTATGTTTAATTATAAAGCAGAATAAAACCAGCCTTCCCCATCCCTACTTTTGGTTTTGTGTCGTATTTTTGTATTTTGCGAAATAAATATTACTTTCTTCTATGGTAGTTGCATTTTTTATTACCCCCCAACCACCACCACCACCACAGACAAATTGTACATATTAAAACTAGTTATGATTTCATAGAGACTCTAAGGAATTATGGTGGCTGCAGTAAGAATGGTTAAGTGAAAATGTGTCTTTTTTGGTGCAAAGTATATTGTAGTTTGTTTGCGTTAGTGTTTGTGGCTAGCCAAGTTTAAGATAAGGCAGACTGAAAACCAGCTTTCTCCCATCTCCCATTTTGGCCAGGTGCCACATTTTTTGTATTATTACATTACTTTCCTCTATGGAACATAGACTTTATGAATTTAAATGCAATACTAGATTTGAGGCAAGGCCTAAGTTCTGTAATAACAGTTTCTTTTCTTGCACTTCTCACCTGTGGAACTCTTTTCTGACTTCTTACTTTCCAGCCAACTTTGATCTTCAAAAATTTAAATGCAATGTCAATCGTTAACTACTGTCTTCTTGCTTCCTCTTCTTTTATTGTTCTCGTTCTTTAATGATGTTTTTCTTTTTTCTTATTCTTTCACACTCAGTAACCTCTTGTGTCATAGTGGCTTTATTGTCTAATTGAGTTTAAATGATTTTAACAAAAAAAAGGTAGAAAAATGTATTCTTCACTGTTCTACAATTATGTCATAACCTCTTTCTTGAAACAAAAAGACAGTCAAAAGCATATTCAATTTTATATTATACATAAGAATGTTGATATTATATGCAAGAATATTTATATATTTTATATTTATAAGAATGTTTCCAAATTTGTTGATCTTTGAGGATCAAAGGCAATAAAGCTGCTTAGAATGTTGCCATCTCTGTGGCTGATGTTGTTGGCAATGAACTGAACCAGTTGGTATATTAGCCATCATTTCTTAAATGTTCTTTTATTTATCTGTAGAAAAAAAGACCAATATTTTTTCTTATGGATTATATTCTTGAAGAAAGGTATAAAAATTGATTGGAATGAAGCATTGTGGGAACAACAAAAAATGAGTGAAATAATCTGAACAATTCAGGGATTATTAATGCTTATCAACATTATAGAATGTACTTTTGAACACCTGACGAAGACCATAGAATGGATTAGTGATTATTTTGGGAAAACAAAAATATCACAAAAAATAAGCAAAATACTTTCAACAACTTGGGGGATGATAATAGCATTTCTCCAAAATTTGAGCCATCCTGGGAATGACGATAAACTACATCTGCATCCTGGGTATGACGATAAACTATGTCCAGCAGCAAGGCCTCTGATCAGGGGTTTTTGAGGAGCATGGAACCACCTCTTAATTGCTGGTGTTCCTAGGTCCACCCTGACCCAGGGTGGTAGCATCTGTTAGGGTCCCAGCTATGGGCAAATAGTTAACCCCAAAACTTGGTTAAAAACACTATGAAAGTGTAAAAATACGTTTTAATACGTTTTAATACCAGAAATACTTTGTAAAAAATTATTACCAGCAATACATTTTTGAAGAAAAAAGACTATTACAATACATTTTTGAAAAAAAAATATTACTAGCAATATGTTTTTGAAAAAAAATATTACCAGCTATACATTTTTGAGGAAAAAATATTACCAGCAATCCCTTTTTAAAAAAAATTACCAGCAATACATTTTTGAAGGAAAAATATTAGTAGAAATAGATTTTTGACAAAACAAAATATTACCTGCATTAAAAATTTTGTCAGCATTAAATAACCTATTGAGGTTGATATACCGTAAAACAAACCAAACCAAAATTTGAGAAAGCATTTTTGTATTTAACTCATTTTGTGTTTATTTTTGTTGCTTTCACAATTTTCACTTAGTAATTTTCCAAGTGTAGCTTAGACGTGGCACAAATGTGGCTCAAACTCATTATTCATTCATAAATGCTCTAGCGAGACAAGCTTGCTAACCATTACACCATCTCGAGGTGCCCCTGACCAATCTTCTCTATGGCCTTCTTCAGATGAACAAAAATACCTTCTAAAATTATGTGTTATCATTTTCAGAATTTTTCAGATTATTTCACTCATTTTTTCTGTTGCTTTCGTTGTTCTCACAATGCTTTATTCCAATCATTTCTACACTTTTGTTCAGCTGAAGAAGGTTATAGAATAGATTTTCTAGTATGTATTGTAAAACAGCAAGATTAACACAAAAAAAAAGTCAAAAGCTTTGAACAATTCAGGGGATAATTTAGTTCTTGTATTATATTCTTATATTATTTTGGACTATTGTTCTCATCATGTTTGATATAGATGTTATTTTCGACAGGGCCAGAGTGTAACATCCCCAACCCCCACCCCACCTAGGGGTCAGCAAGCCTGATTGGTGGCTCCAGGCAGTACTTTATGACCCTTTATGACCAAAAACCATGAAAATTTCAATGTTTTTGTATTTTAATACAATGAATGAATAATAATAATAATAATAATAATACAATAATGAATCTTAATTCTTAAGTTAATGATTGATTAAGCCCATGGTTAGTAATACGGCAATAAAATATCTGTAGAAATTCCCATGTTGCATTTCTAAATATTTGAGCTTCAAAACTTTAACAAAATATTGTAATAACAAAAATAAATGTGAATGCTGATAGTTATTTTAAGAAATGTGTAGAAATGAAAAGATTTGAAACTGATAACTTTTCCATTTCATTGAAACAGACTTTAAAACATTTCTGTCATCCCTTCTTTCTTCCTTTCATTCATATGTTCTGTTTTTCTATGCAATCAAAATGGAATAGTTCATTATTTAGGAGGTACTGGCGGGAGAAATGCTAGAGAACGAACTGAAAGTATCTTCTTCCTTCTTTATTTCACCATCTCGTCTGTCATGCTTTAGACTGCTTGACCACAGAGAGCTTTGCAGGTCCAGTAAGGTTCAGTTACCTTTCTACAAAATGGAATGCAGATTCAAACTCTGCTGGAGGGCACATTTTCTTTAGTAAGACTCTTGAATGCACAAGCCAGTAGATGTAATTAACATTGTTTAAAAAATAAATAAATAAAAAAAACAGAGCTTCTGTGCTAAAATACATTTAAGGAATAAAAATACAACAAAAAGAGAGCAATATTGACAATAAGTTTGATGATATTTATTATATATTAGACTTTTGACTAAAATGAAGCACAAAGAGAAATAATATATAAATCAGAATTTTCAGACAAATCTGTGTCTTTTTTTAATGAGATGAGGAATAAACAAAGAAGTGGGACTTATTCTTCCAAGGAATGTTGTTGTTGTTGGTTAGAGGGCTCCCTGTGGAAACTATATTCTCTGAGTAAGCCCAAATCCCTGTTTAATATATGATTTTATTTTGAAAATATATTTTAACTTAGATCTGTGTCTTCCTTGATGTCTGTTAAATGAAAACAATGAAAGCACATACCTAATGTCATCAATGCTATGGAATAGTTGGTTGAAATGTGCAGCAACAGGAAAAATGTTGTTGTCTTTCATGGGTTTTTCTATGGTTATTGAACCAAAGACAGAATTTCATGCCTGTTTTTCTAGCATAATTCGCTATGTTGCATTTGTGGCATAAAGTAAATATATAAGATTTGGTCTGTCACAAGTCAGAGCCAGTGGCTTGAATATTGTGTAAATGCAAGGTGGGGGTGAAATTGCTGTCAGTGTTGATAAGTTTATAGACTTGGCTTCATGGTTTATTGTAGATGATATTCTCTTGGTGAGATGGTGAATTATGCATACAAAATGATGTTAGGAGTGTGTTGTTTGTTCTTAATCTTGTCAACAGCACAGTATAGTAGAGTCAGTCAGGCATTATCTGTGAGATAAAGAGCACCACCAGAAATTTGGAAATGGCATGCTGTACTGCTTGGCATTCATGCCAGAAGCTCCAATATGGACATTTCAGTTTATCCAGGTGTCAATCTGAGGACAATCTGATTCAGAAAGACTTAGATGAATCTAATGATGGCAATGAAGGTGTTGGAATAATCACTAGCAATGGAAACATGCCACCATTCATCTTTCCATAGGGCCTCAGACTCAACATGGAGGCCTACAGTTCCTTGAGGAGGTAGTGTTGCCCTGGGTTAAGAGGGTGGCTGCTGAAAGACATTATGTCTGGAAACAGGACTGTACACCATGTCACACAAACAGGAGAACCCAGTCATGGATGTTAGACAATTTCTGCAGCAACATCACCCTTACATCTGGCCACCTAACTCCCCAGACTGCAACCCCCTTGATTATTATGTGTGGGGCACAGTTGAATGAGAGACCAATGAAACTCCTTTAACACTAAAGATGAACTGAAGGCAAGGATTATGCCAACATTCACCAACTTAAACAAGGAGACACTGCAGGATATTCTGAAGTCATCTGGAGGCCGTGGTTGAAGCCAATAGTGATTCTATTGAATAAAATTACTCTTTAATATTTCAAGATAAAATTTCTGATTGTCTATTTTATTCAGTTTGTCTTCTCTATAGATATATTCTGAGAATTTTAACACACAATATATATATATATATATATATATATATATATATATATATATATATATATATATATACACACACACAGACACACTAGAACACCTATAAACATGTTAGGTTCCTTTTAAATGCAGTCCATTATACAAAACATGTATATGATAGCTGTATTTGGTAATTAGACAAACAGTGGTTATTTGCTGAATTACATTATTTTTTTAATGAAAGTCAGCCATAGACATTAAGTTATCAAATAAAAGTCTTTCCGAATGAAAAATAAATTAACAATATAAGAATGTCATACGAGGCGTATCATTGTTCCAGAATTATATAACCTAGCTTTAATTTGAAATATCCCTTTTATGTAACTTTTTAGAATGGAATTGAACACTGATATCACACTAAATACCTTTCCATTCAAGTAATAGTAGTAACCCCAAGATAACAATTTATATCAATTTTTGTATTTACCATAAAGGTGAAGGTCATTCAACAACAAAAAAACAAAGAGCAATCATCTGGAGATTCATATTTATTGAAATAGCAAAATATGGATGCCTCCTTTTTGTGCACTTAGTTTCATTTTTCTAGGTATTTTTTTTTCAAAATAATAATTACATTTTTATTATACATATTTGTTTCTTCCTCACATTTATTTCAAAGTAGATAACAGTGTCAAACTAGCATGCATTTATTTATTTACCATCAAGTCATGTAATACACTTTTCCAGCCAACTTTTTACAATGACACCCACTCACATAGTGTCTTCACCTATCAAGTACTTGTCAGACATCCAAGATATTTGTCTATAAAAACATTCTAATGTAGTGCTGTGTATTGTTTAAATATATGTTGTGTTATGTATATTTCAATTTACTTAATAATGTTGCTATATTGTATTATGCATGTTTATCATTTTTCACAAACATTAATAGTTGGAATGTAATATGCAAGTATCTGTTTATATATGTGGATTGATATAAGAATGTGTATTGAAAACAAATACTGAATTTCCTATTAAAAATGGTATAAAAAGAGAAAAGCAACCCTAAATAAATGAAATGAAATTTGGCACAAAACTCAGCAGGACTTCAACGTACAACATCCTCCTAAATTGGTTTGGGTATAATGTATTGTTTAAGCTGTATCTCAGAAAGAGACCTACAAATATATAAGATTAGAGTTTTAGTGATAGATAGATAGATAGATAGATAGATAGATAGATAGATAGATAGATAGATATGAACAGACTCAGAGAGATAATGAACAGACTCAGATAGATAGATAGATAGATAGATAGATAGATAGATAGATAGATAGATAGATAATGAAGAGAAACAGATAAATAGATATGAAGAGAAACTGATAGATATGAAGAGAAACAGATAGATAGATAGATATGAAGAGAAACGGATAAATAGATATGAAGAAAAACAGATAAATAGATATGAAGAGAAACAGATAAATAGATATGAAGAGAAACAGATAGATAGATAGATAGATAGATAGATAGATAGATAGATAGATATGAACAGATCCAGAGAGATAATGAAGAGACTCAGATAGATAGATAGATAGATAGATAGATAGATAGATAGATAGATAGATAATGAAGAGAAACAGATAAACAGATATGAAGAGAAACAGATAGATATGAAGAGAAACAGCTAGCTAGCAAGATAGATAGATAGATACATAAATACATACATACATACATAAAACAACCCAGCACCAATAATATGTTATCAAATTTATGAACACACTAAATATATAGCATAAAAATAAAAAATAATATGATAATACAGTCATGTGAAGATACAATGATGCAATAATTGAAAATGATGAAACAGACAGGAGCCAAAAAATCTCTTTGATAATGGCATATCAGCCAAAAGTTTAAAGTACTCAGACATTGGATAATTTATAGTTCTGTATTGACCATAAACAAAAACAAAATGGTCTGACATAGGAAAAATGAATAATATATATATATATATATATATATATATATATATATATAAATGCATGAAGGTATGTAAACAAAAAATATACAAGTTGATTAGTAAATTCTATTCATCAATAACCTCTATGACTTTTCTTGCTACTTGATTATTATATCTTTAAATAATCATTTCTTTCTCTCTAGGATGTAATAATGTTCTGTCCTTTCATCCAAACCAATTGTATTGTCAGCATCCCGCTAAGTGGTCAGCGTCATTTTCTTCCTGCAACTCACAGACAGAGAATTCTGGAATTCACTTGTCATGGGGCCAATTTCCTTAACCTAATTTGGCAACTCAGCATAAAGATCAGAGAGAACTTTGCATAACCTCAAGTTCATCTTGTAGATGAATTGCATCAAGGACAGGGAAGCAGCAGCTGACATAGAAAATATCTTCCTCTTCTTCCATTTCAAGAAGGAATGGTTTTTGACCTGCAGATTCAAAAATGGTCATTTTTTAAAGTCCCAGAGGTATATGAGAGATGCATTTGTAGCAGCCTCTTCTATAGGTCATTTTTCACTGTAAGACAGAAATGTTTGGGCCTGTTGTTTCCAAAGATGGCTGAGAGACCCACAGGAGTTCAACAGAACTGACATTTTGTCATTTGTTTTATTCCAAGAACTGACAATTTACTCAGGAAACTAATGCAGACTTCAGAGATCAATGAAAAGAATCTATAATTTGAAAACTAACCAAATGGTAATGCCAAATATTTGCAGGGAAAAAAAAAATCTAGGGAATACTAAAACTAAAAATTTACATAAAAACAAACAGGTAATAGCCCAAGATGGAAACTACGATTTGGAGATGTTAGGAGTAAGCAAGTACAAAAATTTAAATATCTCTAGTTAGAGTTTTAACAGAGAGTGGAAAAAAGAAATCTTAATGTACATTGGAATAGTGAAAGATGCCTTCCAAAAGCTAAGCAAAGTATTAAGAAACAAGAAAATTTCATTAGAAACAAAAAAAGAGTGTGGAACTGTTATGTGATATTGGTCCTCTTTATATGGCAGTGAAGAAACATGAGGTAGTTTCTTTTCTCAAATGCCTTGCTCATGGAACTCTCTTCATAAAACCATCTTTTAGCCAAAGTAACCACTCAGGTCCAGCAATTGCCTCTGTCTGCTGAAAAAAATTGACCATGAAGATTCTTTTTGTTGTTGTTGTTGTTGGTAGTAGTAGTATCTGCAATGCTATTGGTCCTAACCTGGCACCTCAACTTCAGTCACTTTCCCATTGCTGCAATGTAGTTTCCCTATGCTTTTTCTATGAATACTTTCATAGTAATTTCTCTGATAAACTTTGCACTAAGGTGCCTAGATTTTATGAATTTAAACACAATACTAGATTGACTGCAAGGTCTCATCATTTTACAGCTGAAATGATTAGATGTAACCGTAAGATTTAGGCTAACAGTTTCTTCTATCGCACTTCTCGCTTGTGGGACTCTATTCTGGCTTCTTTCTTCCCAGTCAACTTTGATCTTGAAAATTTTTTAAAGCTGTGTCAATTGTTATCTCCTGTCTTCTTAATTTCATTATTTTTATTGTTCTCTCTCTCCTTAATATTGTTTTGACATTTTTTTTAAATATTCTTTCACACTTAGTAATACCCTGCATCTTAGTGACTTTATTGCCTTGTTTCAGATGAAATCATTAAAAATATTGATTGATTAAAAATACAGAAAATGAATTCTACTCAGATATATATTTTTATTTTGGATTCAATATTATCACCAAGCTTCAATTTAGCTGTGTATGACAGTCTCTTATATTTAGACAGCTCCCAAATGGGTATGTTAAAATAACAGACTAAAACAAATTGTTTGATACCAATAAGCTCAACATGAATGCCAGACAAGTTCTATGCTAACAGTTTCTTCTATCACACTTCCCCACTTGTAGAACTCTCTTCCGGCTTCTTGTGTTCTAGTCAACTTTGATCTTCAAAAATTTAAATGCAATGTCAATCATTATCTTTTGTCTTCTTAATTCTTATTTTTTTTTATAATCCTCTCTCCTTAATAGTAGTTTTTCTCATATTCTCTAACACTCAGTAATCTTTTGCATCATAGTGGCTTTATTGTTTTGCCTAGGATGAATGATTTAAAAAAAAAACTGAATGTAACAGATCTGACAGAAATTTGAATTTGAATCTTCAATTTCTTGTGGTGGTGGCCAGACCATTTGTCAGAAGTCCCCAAAACCTATCCTAAAAATCTTATTAGCATTAAATAACCCATTGAGGTGTTGATATGCCATAAAACGAAATAAACTCAAACCCTGATCTCCAAACTGATTTCTTACTAATAATACATATTCTATTCCTATGAACATATCCCAAAAATCATGTCAGCATTAAATAACCCATTGAGGTGTTGATTGTTGACCATGTTCACCATAGTCTATGAATATAGAATACAGCACAGTACGTAATCTGTTCAATGAAACAACGTTAAAGACTAACACTCACGAACAAAGGTTGGCAGTGAGTACTCGAGAAAAAACATGGCCGCCTTTATACACGTCACATTGAATATTTCAAGCCTTCTGATTTGTTAACCCTTCTATTGATGAACTATAAAATGAGTCAGCTCATTTTGGCTGGCTCACTAGTACACCAGGGTACCCCAAAACTCCAACATTGATATGCCATAAAACAAAATGAACCTAAACCTTGATCTCCAAACTGATTTCTTACAAATAATACATATTCTATTCCTATGAACATATCCTAAAAATCATGTCAGCATTAAATAATCCATTGAGGTGTTAATATGCCATAAAACAAAATAAGCCAAAACCAAATCAGCTTCAGAGTATTGTCACAGATCAAGCTCTATAATGACATGGAGCTTTGGGTTAAAATGAACAGTTGATTTATCCACACAAAGATTAATGGAGGATGGTAAATAAAAAAGAAACACACGGGTAATTTTTAACAAAACAAGATAAGGAATTTATTTGTGGATGTACATGCCTGAAATTGTGTCATTTCAAGAAAATAAATCAGAATTTTTTAAAGTCTGTAGATTTAATGAATTGTCATGAAATGTTCATACAAAAGACTAAATAATCTGACACAAAATAATATTCACGAAAGTGTTTAAAACAAACATAAGAGAGTTTGTTGCCCACAGAAGAAATATACAATTGCATACATTCAAAAGTAGACAAAGAGATATAGTTTGAAATATTTAGCTTTCTTGGATTGTTAAAAGAAATTTCTTTAAAGCGCTGCGTGCTTATTTAAAAGCTGATAATATAATTAGTAAGTAATTTTACACTGGTGAAAATTCCAATGCTGGATGTGGTGAACAGAAATGAAACCTTTCACACACTTCTTTTATTATTTAATTTTTTTACCTCATTTTATATTGAAAGAAATTTCACATAGGCTCACAAATTTTTCTTTCTTCTTCTCAGCTCACTGACCAATCTCTGTGAAGACAAGCGAATTCGTTGCTGTCTTTTTCCTCAGTCCTCCAAATTTGAAGGGAGTGGGTAAAGGGAGTTATTATTTTGTACTCACTACAGATCAAGAGGTCAAATTTAATTTTCTATATTTGGTTTACAGTTCAAGTAAAAGATGAGGGAGCTGAAGGCCCCCACATAATGTCATGGGGGATTATTCTTCTTTATCTATGTACCATGTCCCTTCAGGACATAGTCAATCATGGCTCTCCACAACTTTCTATCCTTTGTGGCTCTTAGCAGTTTTTCTACTTTTGCAAAGGCCCCACCCCTGTTCCACCATCCATTCACCCTTCATCAAGTCAGTGGCTTACTGTCTCCCCCTATCAAATTTGCCCCCAGTATGCTTCATGAGTGTTAAGTTTTCTAAGACCTCCTTCCTCATTATGTGTCCAAGGAATTTCAGCTGTCTTTTCCTGATTCTGAGTAGAAGTGTTCTGTCTGTTGCCATTTTTCTTTAAGACTTCTTTGTTGCCGAATCGATCCATCTGTTGTATTCTCAGTATCCTTCTGTAGAACCACATTTCTGTTGTCTCTAGTATTTTCTTAAAAATATCTATATATAATATTATAGGTTTGTAAATAATTTGTAATTTTGAATAAAACAATAGTTTCTTCTTTTATGAACCACCTCCCTTCAGGGCATAGGCGATCATGGCTCTCCATAACTTCCTATTCCTTGTGTTTCTTAGCAATTTTTCTCCCTTTGCTAAATCCCAATTCCACCATTTGTTCTCCCAAGTCTGTCAAGTAAGTTGCTTCCCTATTTCTTTTGTCTTCAGTATGCCCAGTGAGGGTTAAGTTTTACAAGCCTGCCTTTCTCATTATGTGATCACAGAATTTCAGCTGTCTTTTCCTGATTCTGAGTAGTACTGTTCTATCTTGCTATGTCCTTTAAGACTTTCTTGTTGCTAAATGATCCATCCATAGTATTTTCAGTATAATTCTGTAGAACCACATTTTTGCTGTCTCTAGTCTTCTCCTCATCCATAGAGAGACTGTCCAGCATTCACTGCTATGTAAGAGGATGGATATCACATAGCAGTCCAGCTCATATTCCATGACTTTTGGCGCATGAGTGTATAGCTGAACTGATATCTGAGAAAGAAAGAAAGAGAGAATAAAAAAAGAAAACCTGAGAATGAAAAAAAAAATGAATACATGAGAATTTTTACAGTGAGGTAAAGAGTGAATCAATAAATAAAGAAAGAAAGCTAGGGAGAGAAATATAAAGTAGAAGCGAGAGAGAGAGGGAGATTATTCAGTCAGTTAAGTGCCATACGTGATACACACTTGGGTGATCATGTCTTTTTTGATTCATGATTAATTAGGCAGAGATTTTCCCACAGTAGGTTGCTATTTCTTTCTATGGCAGACATGTTGCCAACAAAGGCAAGACCTAGTCTGCTCTGCTATTTACCTCATAGATGGGGGAGAAGAGATGGATTCATATATTTCACAAGGGTATTAGCACGTAAGTGAATGCAACCAACTTGACTGGAATTTGAACTCGGCTCTCCGATTTATCATTCTGTGCTGATATTCATTACACCAAAGAGATTATAGATAGTGAGAAGAGGAGGAGAAAATAAACAAAGAGACAAAGTAAATAACTTTAAAAAACGGAAAGAATAGTAAAAATAGGACGACGAAGTGTCTGTCTGCTGACATGAATTCTTCATATAATAAAATAAATATGTAAATAACTTACTATAAAAAAGATATCAGCAGAAAAAAGAGAGTAAAAAAAACAATCAACTGTGGATTTAAATAGCAAAAACCTGTTAAAAAATCTTCATTCCTGCAGACCAGTGACAACTAGAGAATGAATGAATGAGAAAGAAAAATAATTTTAAGAGATATATTTTTTTAAAAAAGTCAAAGACGCCTTCCAAAAGCTAAGCAGAGTATTAAGAGACAGAAAACTTTTGTTGGAAACAAAGAAAACAGTATTGAACTGTTGAGCTCAAAATGCAAATT